GTAATACGATTTCGTCGAGATAACACGTCATAACAATGATATAACAACGATGCTGTACACAAAAAAAAAAATTACTTGAATGTTATTTATTATTCATCGCATTTTCGTATGTGCACTACACAAAATAAAACACGTATGGTGGTGATGCTGCTCTAAACTGAGTCTCCGCTGCTGTTGCTCTTTCCTCCGTTTTCGTGCATAGTGTTGTTTATTACTATATCAATGATACAATAACACTATGCATTGTTTTTTCTATTCTTGTTCACTTTCAATAATAATTTACACAAACCCAATTTTTTTTTTTTTTTTTTTGTGGCGATTATTGATTCTGTTCAAAGGTGGCCGTGAAGAATAATAAAATACAAGTTTGAACAAGACAACCGCCGACTCGACACACGCGCTCGACGTCACCGCAGGATCCCGATACATACCGATAAAACCGCGATCGCGCGCCCGCATGTGTGTGTCCCGCAGTAGCTAACGCCCCATGTACACACGTCCGTGCTGTGGCTGCTGCTTTTTTTACTACAGTATAACATTAAAATAGGTGTGATCGTCTAATTTTAACATAATAATATTATGATTACAGTTTAATTAAGGTTATTATTATTATTATTATTATTATTATTATTACTATTATTTATCTAGTTTTGTAGTAGGTAAAATCGTTCTCTTTCCTCGGCGACAATATTTATTATTAATTTATTATACTGTTGTATCGTATAATACATATTTTTAGACTTAAAGACGATAGTTTGTTCGCGTGTATAGTGGAGTTGAGTGAAAAAAATCAGCAGAGGACTTGATATTTATATTTGATGTACAAATATAGGTATAATATGCAATATTATTATAATATATTATATTATAGTGTCACGTGTTCTCGTTGATGATGTTTTTTCTCTTTATTTTTTCGTCGTCGCAGTTATTATTATTATTATTATTATTATTATTATTATTGTTACGTGTAACGTCATTACAATCATTATTCTCATATATTATAATAATATATATTATATTTAATGCGCGTAGATGCTATGTTTATTGAATACATTATACTTATTTATTGTGTTAAATATAATATGATACGATTAGGATATAATATTATTATTATGTGTATTCAAAATAGGTTAGTATAGTAAGGCAGGTATGCGTGTATTTCTACGACTTGTTTAAGTACGCGATGTGCGCGTACCGAATATTATAAAGTTTAAATACGATTTTTGCTCATCGTCATCAGTCAGTCGTTCGACACGTCATTATCTCGTAATTAATGAAAGCATTTTTCATTATTATTATTATTATTATTATTTATTTATTTTTTTTTTTTTAGAATCGTTACGAATATTGTTATTTAGTATTACTAATTTATAACATAGTTTGTACGTATACCTAAATATTACATATAATATATTATATTTATATAGTCTTTAGTGTTATAATAGTATCGTTGTTGTTGTTGAGAATATTGTTACCTATACCTATGATGTAGGATAATATTTAATAATGTTGACGACGGTGTTTATTTTGTATAGTGTTGTTGCCGATGTTCAATACCTTTTTTTTTAAATTTAATTTACACACGTCACACATTTACAAGACTCATATTTTTATTATAAACATTATTGCGATTACTATATTAAAATAATTATAGTATGTATAATTATATAGAAACAAATAATTTTTTTATTTCATTTTAAGCAACTGCGTTGTATACGCTGTATAAACGACCACTCGACTCGGAAAAATAATACAATACATAAAAAACCATTGCATTACCAAATAATATTTTTAAATAATAATATTACATCGCTAAATTACCTACGCCGAGCACAATACGCAACGCGGACGTTCCCTTCGAACGTTATTATATATATCATTGCGCCCCCCCCCCCGCCCATTAATTGTGACATTTCTCCTAGCACATGTCATCATCAAGTCGACGCGTCCGCTTGTCGGCCGTACGAAATAATACTATTTTACGCTATTTTAATATATTTTTTACTAACAGCGCACAGCGTGTACGATTAATTTATTTTTCATAGACGCTGGAGTTCAGTGGTTCCACGTATGGCGAACGCGTATACAGGTAACACATGTTTGGAGCCTTCCCCTCCCGACAACTATGCGCTATAACCTCTGCCATAGTTTACTCGCTTTCCCCTGAACACAGTCGTACACCTTCACTCTGATGGGGCTTATAGGACATTTGTATAGTGGTGTACCATAATGCCACGTCGATATTATGGTATCGTTTCGCGTATGGCCGGAATCCAAAAGTCTCCAACCCCATCCACCGCCGATGATGTACGTATTACTACCCGACTGTGCACAAGACGCATATTATACCAGAGATGAAGATTTCACACATGCGCGCGTATGATTGGTTTTTTCCCCCTGAAACACTATATTCTTAAAACCTCTATAAATATATACCATTCGCACTACTACTATCATTACTGTATATCACTGCTACTATACTATATTGTATAGGTACTATATATTATATATATATATTATCATGTGTATACCACTAATTGTACTATATTGTACTACTGTTGTTTACCGTTTATCATTATGTATTCTGTACTTAATATATAATATTATTATAATGTGTAGCTGTCGCTTTGAACTATTGCTTTTGTTGCATGAATAACACTTGTCTGAGTATATTATTTATTATGTATACTTACGTAGTGCCCGCGGGGGGAAATATTATTTAAGTTTCCGAATTTTGTATTGGTGCGTTGTGTCGTGTCGTAATGTACAACACTATACGATACGTCTTGACGTAAGGTATATCTGGACGGGGGAGGGAGTTGACAACTATCGTTATTTAAATTGTCAAATGCTCCAGATACACCCTTGTATATCGTGTGCACATCTGATGTCGTTTTGCATGCTAATCAGACACGCCCGGCTCCCCGTCAGTATTATTTGTCAGGTACTGTTCATGTCTATCGATTGTAATAATGCTGCATATTACAATGATGACATAACAACACCGTACTTGTCGACGTGCAAATATAAAACATATTATTATATAATGCCGGGCAGGGAGCAAGATTAGGTCGGTAGAATTGCAGGGGATGGGTTATTAATAGTAAAAAAAATCGTTGGGAAAATGTATTACACGTGTGGTGAAAGGAGCTCCCCTCCCCCACCCCGCGAACATCGTTTGCAGCTATTTTCCGTGCCGGTTTTTCCAGCGTGTTCCATCATCGCCTTCATCACCGTCATCAATCGATGACGATAATATACATATATATTAACATGTTTAACACACTACCTACTTACTCTGTCATCTGATCATCCTCATCGTCATCATAATCGTGTCGTACACATTTCTCCTTGCGACATTACATTATTATATCCATGTATGCTATAAACTCGCAATTATACGCCAGTACCTATTTATATATATATATACCTACACACACGCGCGTCACATATATTTTTTAACTGTACATGTGTCATTATTCTACATATATTATATATTATATATTGTTCATATCACAGCAATGCGTGTTCTAATTATTCGCAATTAGTTGTCATTACGATTGCCTACTGTTCATTATACTATTTAACCATATTATAATATATTTTACGCTCATAACATGCATTATATATTATATAATTATCATTACGATATTATTATTATATACAATATAATAATTACCACCGCTGCCGCTGCCGTCGCCGCCGCTGATGCTGTTATTGACTTTTGATTTATTTACATTACAATTAACATTATAATATAACATAATCGTTTATTACCCATTCATCATAATATATCATCATCATCATTAATACCTATAATATAATTAATATATAATATTATTATCTTCGCTCACCGCGGTATAGCCGTTGTACTGTATACATAATGTACGCTCAATTATACGTATATACGTGCATTATGTATATTATATGACGATTTTCATTATTATTGCTCATATTGTAATGTAGTGATGATGATTAACATATTTTATTAATATTATACGTTTTGCGTACGCACACACCCGCATTCGAGTCGTATTATTATTATATTATTATATAGGTACCTAGACATATTATGTTATTATATTATCGTCACGTATGTGTATACCACAGCCTCGTTACATAATATATTGTATATAGTGGGTACGATATATAGTATGTAATATAATATAATCTATATACATATTTGTCACCGGTGCGCCGCGAATGTACAGGGCGTTCTCTCGACGACTGGGACCAGCCGGCTTCCGTTTTTTTTAAGGCGGTGTTTTTATCAACCACCGATTATTGCTGTTTTAATTTCGAATCCGGTAAAACCTCGAGACACCAACGCCCTGTATATACTGCGCGTACGTCATATAATCATCATAATGACATTATTTTTTGTGCCTATATATACCTACATATAAATATATGAGCACACGCTGATTATTTTTGTTTTACCTGCGTAGGCGCATTTATATAATATATTACTTTTATATAATAATATATTGTGATATATTATTACAATAGAGCAGCTCGGTCGATTTTTATAGTTTGTTTGTTTTTTTTTTTTAGACATTTTATTTTTTTAAACATTAATCATATAATTATTACGCACAACGCGTAGAGCAAAATGTCGCGCGTCGTTATTCTATAATCGCATAATTTATTAATAAATAATAACCATCATTATTATGAGTATATATTATATACTCGGTGCTTTATCCACGCGTTGTACACAAAAACCAAAACTCAACTGTACAAATTGTTTAAAAAACCAAATTACAAACACTGTTCTGTTTTGATTTGGTCGTGTCGCCGCGTGGATATAAACATATAATAACTATTAGCAATAAAGTATGATATGCGTAAGTATGCGAAAAACGACGCTCGCGATAATATTTTTTGTTTTTTTTCTTTTGGTTTATTTTTTGTTTTCTTACCATCGTTATTAAAAAAAAACGTACACATGAATACAATTTGTTACGCAGTAAATAATACATATATATATATATATATAAATGTTGTTTTTTTTCCGACAATTTCCACAGATACGAGTGGTTAACGCTTTCCGGCAGGGTCTGGATGCACGTTACGGCGAGTCGCTGGCCGAAGTGTTGCGCAAACAGCCGTGCTTCAGCAAGAGACTGTCTGCGGCGACGGGCGGCGGCGGATCGTCGTCGAAAACCGGCGGAGGCGGCGGCACCGGCACCGGCGGATCCATCGAATACGCTGACAGCGACAACGCGATCGGCGTCCCTCACATCGACGTCGAACGTCTCTCGTCGCACAGCCACACGGAAACGGCCGTGTAAATCATTTTTATTACTAATTATTATTATTATTATTTTTTCTTTTCGTCGCGCGAAAAACACGACATTTATACTTTATATACGTTATAATATCGATTCGTTCGTTCCCCCTACCCCCCCTCCCGTGACATACCACACACGAGCTTTTCGTCGTTTCTCGTAGTGAGTTTTTCGTTTTTTTTTTATTCGGTACATAATAATATAGTTATATATATATATACCGTCAAGCAACTCTCGTTGTCATTTTTATTTTATTTTTGTTTAAGACATACAACCTACTTGAGCGTCAGTAAACATTTTATCGAAATAATATTATAAGTCTAGCCCTCCGGATCCGGCCTCGTCGCGGGATAGACCACCTCTCCATTACTTCCTTCCGTTCCACTACTGAATATTAATAACACAAATAAATAAAATACTAAATAAAGTAGGTACGCCAACAAACGCGGTTGTTGTTTAATAATTAATATTCACATCACCTATATTTATATAATGCGATGGTATATTATATGCGTGTTGTATATTCATTATAAAATATACGTATTGCTAATATTTTAATTTCAACTAAAAACTCGTTACGTGCCTTATACAAACAACAATAGTTTATAATATTATTGAAATATTAAACGTATTACGTACATTTATTATTATATACACGTATTATATTATTATTATCGTCACGTTATATATTAATTTATTATAATATTTTCCGCGCGTCGCCGAAATATTGGACCGGTGTGGGAGGGTTAGCTTATATCGTTAACTCGTCATATACATATATAGTTGTATCGTGAACGCGGATAATAAACAATTTAATTAAATCATACCAATTATTTTACCATTCCGAATTGTCCGTCATCGTTTATGTTGTTTATTATGTTACTATTGTTGTATCGATCAAGCGTTTGAGCTCTCTCGTGTGTACATCGCAAAGTACAAAATAAAAAAGAACCAAATTCCGTACGGTGATATAATTTTAATATTTTACTCTTTATTCTCCCCACGCCCTTCTTGACTCAATTCAACTTTAATATAATATATATTACGTTAAGTGTGTTGTGTGTTCCTTTCGCTAATTCTCGTATATGGCATTACCTACCAAAGCATCGTTAAAATAAAAAAATTAATAATAATAATAATAATAATAATAATAACAATAATAATGATATCAATAATAGCTGACTACGGAACACGATTTATAATAAATACGCTATATATATATATGCTGCCGCCGACGTTGCATTTATCATAAATACATTTAAATACTAAACATTTTTTACTGTCGACGCATTGTAGAAACTCTCGGAATGTGTTCTCTTAAATACATAAATTATTACCTACTACTATATTATATTGTTAATACACAATTTTATCGCATATATAATGTCGTGTACTTGTATACATAATATTATATATAAGTACCTATTAATACATTTATTTCGTTTGTAATAATAAAAATAAAATAATAATATTTTAGACGTGTTTCGATCAAACATAAAAACAAAACAAAAAAATTAGTTTTGTAGTTTTAATTTAATTTTTTTTTATACTTAACGTAATATTATTTGTTTTGTGTACATATATATAATAATATAGTTTTTTCTTTTTTTCTTTATTTTTTTTTTTCAAAATCATTTTAATTAATATTCGATTATTACCTATGTTTTCGTTAAGCGTAATATGTATATATTAATACTTTTGATATGATATATTATTGTTATTTCACGTGTAGTTTATTTTATTAGCAACACGGAGTCGGAAACGAGCCATACGACGCTTTTCGTATTAATAATAATAAACATTTTTAAAAAATACTCCAGAATGACTATGTAAATTTAATGTATAGGCGTGTATACCAATAACATTACATAATGTACACTAACGCCTTGTCCTTTGTGAATGCGACGAGTGCGAGTGCGATTTCTATTGTGAGTGCGATGCGTCCGATACGGAAACTGTTTTGTCTTTCATCGCATTCGTCGGATTCACTAGGACACGGCCTAATATAATATTAACGGCGTCTCGTTTTATATATATATATATATATATTTGTGTGTGTGTATATATGTATATGTATAGTGTTAGGTAGTAAGTCTTGAAACTAATCGGCTCAACGTTTACCACATGGTTCTCATATTATATTAATTAATATTTAGATATAATGTATATACATTATAGGTATATACTAGATATTTAACCCGCGTGCCGTCGACGGTCCGACCTGTTATTTTTTTTTAAAGCTTTTAAGGCTGCCGAAACGAATATCTTTGCCTTGGTGTGTGATTTGGGGAGGGGGGGAGGGGGTGGTAGCTCTAGAAAGTATCGATTGATAGCCATAGGTGTAGGTGTCCCGTCCAGTCGTTATTTTAAGGGGGATGAGAAGAAAATATACTTTTTAGTTAATCACGGCTGTGTAACACATTCGAATACATATTGTTAGACCATTGGATTCGGTTTTATTCGTCGTCGTCTTACCGTGACGAACATCTATAGGCCTATAGGGTGGGGAGGGGGTGGAGAGTGTGGAGAAACCCGGGTGAATACATTCTATGAGGTCGCTGACACAAAAATCCATGAACTACGGCAATACATATGTCGCTGTTTACAGATTTGCAAATTGAGAAAAACAATTTGAAACCAAAAAAAAACCTACTGCAATTATTATTACCATCCGTTTGTATTGATATTATGTAGTACCCGCCGATGATGTACATCATATTTATACTGTGTTTTGCACTGCGTAATTTTGATCGTTTTCACAAAAAAAAATTATTTAAACCGACGACCGTCGATAGTGTCGCGTTCGGGTTTAGGGGGAACAAAAATTGTTACGCATAATATACATAGTTAGATGCCATCGGCAGTGTTGAACAGATCTAGGTACACCAATATTATATAATATACAATACTTATATATACACACACACACACACAACGTCAATATTTTACCCTCCGCCGCCGTTGTAGGTGCCATGTTAATTGTTTCGGGTCCGTTACTATATATATATGTATATATTATATACATAATATTACTTTATGTATTGTTATAACCGTAGTTTAATTATTATTATTAATTATATTTATTTATTTATTTAATTTTTTTTTTGTTTTCGCATATCGATGATAATATTACTGCTGGAACATTCTGGAGTATTGAGTTCGCCTTATTATACTTAAATACAATATTAATGACACGTATGATTTAAATAATTAATTAATTAATTTAATATCGTATATTATATAAGTAAATATTTATTATTATGCAGTAGCAACGTACTCGTTGGAAGCTATAATAAGTATATGTTTAAGTGCGCCAAAATATATAATATGTACTTTGTAGACGGCCCAATGGATGTCAAAATGTCAAAATAAAATGCAATTTAAATTTTGTATTTAATTTTTTTTTTTCCATAAATGATAAACAGTTCAAAATGTTAGATGTGTAGAAATTAAAAATTTTAACATACATACATAACGATGTGCAATATTATATTAATGCATACATAATATAATATGTGTGCATATATACATATTATATGCTATATACCTACCTATACAATATATAAGTATTAAAGTATAATATACCTAGTAACACCTCGTAGTAGTGTAAGAAAACATTCGATCAACAATATATAAGCAACATTTCGTTATATATAATAAAATAATCATAATTGTTGTTATTTATTACTTAGGGTACCTATTTATAGTGGCGTATTTAGAGACCGTTTCATCCTACTCATTGACCGTATATTTATATTTATTTTAAGAATCGTTTTCTCAAAAATTAAATATGATCACAGCTATATTTTAATTTAATCTGATGTGAAAATATTATACAAAAATGATTTTTCATCAAATGGTTAGTGGTTTCATTATAAAAGGTTTAATTATTTATAAGGCAAAATCACTTAAATTTGGAATATTTATTGACAAAATAGCACTGTAAATTAACCGGAAATATCTATTGAAGCTCAACACTGTTGGTCCTTAAAACTCCATGATTATATTTAAAATTAATAAATTTTAATAAACATATTTACCTACCATAGATTTTTTAATATTTTTTAATGATACCTATGAAAAAAATCTAGTTAGTGAATGAAATTAATTGAACACCATACATGATTAAAAAGAGGGAAAATAGGTAACCACTCTGCTGCATAATATATTCGAGTGTACCTTGTTATTGAGTATTTTACTGTACCTAATGTATGTGATAATTTGAATTCAATGAAAATTTGAAAATCGATTCTGAGCTGAGACGATATGTCAGCCTATTATTATATAAGTATACAGCCATTAATTATTATAGTAATTTATTTTACTATTTGATAATATTACAATATAAACTATATACCTAAATAATAATATAACTTATAAGTATATATCTATGCACCTTAATTAATCTAAATGTTATTAAAATGTTATTGTGTGTATAAAATATAATAATATACGTAGACACACGTTTAAAACCCCTTCCCCCAAATAATATTTATGAACTACATCAAAATAACTATAGTTGATATATTCTTCGTTTAAATAATGAATTTCATAAAAAATTAAACTTCAAAAGTCTAAAAAAAAAACAAGAAACTTTCTATGCTGTTTTGTAGATTTTGTGTGCACCTTGACATTACCTAGTGTACCTTCACTGTTATGAGTCTGATAAATATGATTTAAATGATACATCATATATACGAATGTGATTCTGAGTAGAGGTTTTTTAGTACCTATACATGTAATATGCTACCTATGAATAATTATTTACTTTTATTTTATTTTAATATTAGGTACGATTATATAGTTGAACTAATATATTTTACCAAAACTATGATACCTCATGTTAACATGGTATTATTATTAAATTAAATTATGATTGTTACTAACTTAAGTAAATACCGATATACCTACCGTATAGAATGGTGTGAATAGGTTCATGGTGTAAATAGCTTAAAATTAATCTAAACATTTTACACATACATTGAATACTTACTGGCTATATG